TCAGACAGCTGATCCAGACGCTGCTGCCTGCGTCCTCACTAGAACTATAGAAAGTAGATCAGACAGCTGATCCAGACGCTGCTGCCTGCGTCCTCACTAGAACTATAGAAAGTAGATCAGACAGCTGATCCAGACGCTGCTGCCTGCGTCCTCACTAGAACTATAGAAAGTAGATCAGACAGCTGATCCAGACGCTGCTGCCTGCGTCCTCACTAGAACTATAGAAAGTAGATCAGACAGCTGATCCAGACGCTGCTGCCTGCGTCCTCACTAGAACTATAGAAAGTAGATCAGACAGCTGATCCAGACGCTGCTGCCTGCGTCCTCACTAGAACTATAGAAAGTAGATCAGACAGCTGATCCAGACGCTGCTGCCTGCGTCCTCACTAGAACTATAGAAAGTAGATCAGACAGCTGATCCAGACGCTGCTGCCTGCGTCCTCACTAGAACTATAGAAAGTAGATCAGACAGCTGATCCAGACGCTGCTGCCTGCGTCCTCACTAGAACTATAGAAAGTAGATCAGACAGCTGATCCAGACGCTGCTGCCTGCGTCCTCACTAGAACTATAGAAAGTAGATCAGACAGCTGATCCAGACGCTGCTGCCTGCGTCCTCACTAGAACTATAGAAAGTAGATCAGACAGCTGATCCAGACGCTGCTGCCTGCGTCCTCACTAGAACTATAGAAAGTAGATCAGACAGCTGATCCAGACGCTGCTGCCTGCGTCCTCACTAGAACTATAGAAAGTAGATCAGACAGCTGATCCAGACGCTGCTGCCTGCGTCCTCACTAGAACTATAGAAAGTAGATCAGACAGCTGATCCAGACGCTGCTGCCTGCGTCCTCACTAGAACTATAGAAAGTAGATCAGACAGCTGATCCAGACGCTGCTGCCTGCGTCCTCACTAGAACTATAGAAAGTAGATCAGACAGCTGATCCAGACGCTGCTGCCTGCGTCCTCACTAGAACTATAGAAAGTAGATCAGACAGCTGATCCAGACGCTGCTGCCTGCGTCCTCACTAGAACTATAGAAAGTAGATCAGACAGCTGATCCAGACGCTGCTGCCTGCGTCCTCACTAGAACTATAGAAAGTAGATCAGACAGCTGATCCAGACGCTGCTGCCTGCGTCCTCACTAGAACTATAGAAAGTAGATCAGACAGCTGATCCAGACGCTGCTGCCTGCGTCCTCACTAGAACTATAGAAAGTAGATCAGACAGCTGATCCAGACGCTGCTGCCTGCGTCCTCACTAGAACTATAGAAAGTAGATCAGACAGCTGATCCAGACGCTGCTGCCTGCGTCCTCACTAGAACTATAGAAAGTAGATCAGACAGCTGATCCAGACGCTGCTGCCTGCGTCCTCACTAGAACTATAGAAAGTAGATCAGACAGCTGATCCAGACGCTGCTGCCTGCGTCCTCACTAGAACTATAGAAAGTAGATCAGACAGCTGATCCAGACGCTGCTGCCTGCGTCCTCACTAGAACTATAGAAAGTAGATCAGACAGCTGATCCAGACGCTGCTGCCTGCGTCCTCACTAGAACTATAGAAAGTAGATCAGACAGCTGATCCAGACGCTGCTGCCTGCGTCCTCACTAGAACTATAGAAAGTAGATCAGACAGCTGATCCAGACGCTGCTGCCTGCGTCCTCACTAGAACTATAGAAAGTAGATCAGACAGCTGATCCAGACGCTGCTGCCTGCGTCCTCACTAGAACTATAGAAAGTAGATCAGACAGCTGATCCAGACGCTGCTGCCTGCGTCCTCACTAGAACTATAGAAAGTAGATCAGACAGCTGATCCAGACGCTGCTGCCTGCGTCCTCACTAGAACTATAGAAAGTAGATCAGACAGCTGATCCAGACGCTGCTGCCTGCGTCCTCACTAGAACTATAGAAAGTAGATCAGACAGCTGATCCAGACGCTGCTGCCTGCGTCCTCACTAGAACTATAGAAAGTAGATCAGACAGCTGATCCAGACGCTGCTGCCTGCGTCCTCACTAGAACTATAGAAAGTAGATCAGACAGCTGATCCAGACGCTGCTGCCTGCGTCCTCACTAGAACTATAGAAAGTAGATCAGACAGCTGATCCAGACGCTGCTGCCTGCGTCCTCACTAGAACTATAGAAAGTAGATCAGACAGCTGATCCAGACGCTGCTGCCTGCGTCCTCACTAGAACTATAGAAAGTAGATCAGACAGCTGATCCAGACGCTGCTGCCTGCGTCCTCACTAGAACTATAGAAAGTAGATCAGACAGCTGATCCAGACGCTGCTGCCTGCGTCCTCACTAGAACTATAGAAAGTAGATCAGACAGCTGATCCAGACGCTGCTGCCTGCGTCCTCACTAGAACTATAGAAAGTAGATCAGACAGCTGATCCAGACGCTGCTGCCTGCGTCCTCACTAGAACTATAGAAAGTAGATCAGACAGCTGATCCAGACGCTGCTGCCTGCGTCCTCACTAGAACTATAGAAAGTAGATCAGACAGCTGATCCAGACGCTGCTGCCTGCGTCCTCACTAGAACTATAGAAAGTAGATCAGACAGCTGATCCAGATGCTGCTGCCTGCGTCCTCACTAGAACTATAGAAAGTAGATCAGACAGCTGATCCAGACGCTGCTGCCTGCGTCCTCACTAGAACTATAGAAAGTAGATCAGACAGCTGATCCAGACGCTGCTGCCTGCGTCCTCACTAGAACTATAGAAAGTAGATCAGACAGCTGATCCAGACGCTGCTGCCTGCGTCCTCACTAGAACTATAGAAAGTAGATCAGACAGCTGATCCAGACGCTGCTGCCTGCGTCCTCACTAGAACTATAGAAAGTAGATCAGACAGCTGATCCAGACGCTGCTGCCTGCGTCCTCACTAGAACTATAGAAAGTAGATCAGACAGCTGATCCAGACGCTGCTGCCTGCGTCCTCACTAGAACTATAGAAAGTAGATCAGACAGCTGATCCAGACGCTGCTGCCTGCGTCCTCACTAGAACTATAGAAAGTAGATCAGACAGCTGATCCAGACGCTGCTGCCTGCGTCCTCACTAGAACTATAGAAAGTAGATCAGACAGCTGATCCAGACGCTGCTGCCTGCGTCCTCACTAGAACTATAGAAAGTAGATCAGACAGCTGATCCAGACGCTGCTGCCTGCGTCCTCACTAGAACTATAGAAAGTAGATCAGACAGCTGATCCAGACGCTGCTGCCTGCGTCCTCACTAGAACTATAGAAAGTAGATCAGACAGCTGATCCAGACGCTGCTGCCTGCGTCCTCACTAGAACTATAGAAAGTAGATCAGACAGCTGATCCAGACGCTGCTGCCTGCGTCCTCACTAGAACTATAGAAAGTAGATCAGACAGCTGATCCAGACGCTGCTGCCTGCGTCCTCACTAGAACTATAGAAAGTAGATCAGACAGCTGATCCAGACGCTGCTGCCTGCGTCCTCACTAGAACTATAGAAAGTAGATCAGACAGCTGATCCAGACGCTGCTGCCTGCGTCCTCACTAGAACTATAGAAAGTAGATCAGACAGCTGATCCAGACGCTGCTGCCTGCGTCCTCACTAGAACTATAGAAAGTAGATCAGACAGCTGATCCAGACGCTGCTGCCTGCGTCCTCACTAGAACTATAGAAAGTAGATCAGACAGCTGATCCAGACGCTGCTGCCTGCGTCCTCACTAGAACTATAGAAAGTAGATCAGACAGCTGATCCAGACGCTGCTGCCTGCGTCCTCACTAGAACTATAGAAAGTAGATCAGACAGCTGATCCAGACGCTGCTGCCTGCGTCCTCACTAGAACTATAGAAAGTAGATCAGACAGCTGATCCAGACGCTGCTGCCTGCGTCCTCACTAGAACTATAGAAAGTAGATCAGACAGCTGATCCAGACGCTGCTGCCTGCGTCCTCACTAGAACTATAGAAAGTAGATCAGACAGCTGATCCAGACGCTGCTGCCTGCGTCCTCACTAGAACTATAGAAAGTAGATCAGACAGCTGATCCAGATGCTGCTGCCTGCGTCCTCACTAGAACTATAGAAAGTAGATCAGACAGCTGATCCAGACGCTGCTGCCTGCGTCCTCACTAGAACTATAGAAAGTAGATCAGACAGCTGATCCAGATGCTGCTGCCTGCGTCCTCACTAGAACTATAGAAAGTAGATCAGACAGCTGATCCAGACGCTGCTGCCTGCGTCCTCACTAGAACTATAGAAAGTAGATCAGACAGCTGATCCAGACGCTGCTGCCTGCGTCCTCACTAGAACTATAGAAAGTAGATCAGACAGCTGATCCAGACGCTGCTGCCTGCGTCCTCACTAGAACTATAGAAAGTAGATCAGACAGCTGATCCAGACGCTGCTGCCTGCGTCCTCACTAGAACTATAGAAAGTAGATCAGACAGCTGATCCAGACGCTGCTGCCTGCGTCCTCACTAGAACTATAGAAAGTAGATCAGACAGCTGATCCAGACGCTGCTGCCTGCGTCCTCACTAGAACTATAGAAAGTAGATCAGACAGCTGATCCAGACGCTGCTGCCTGCGTCCTCACTAGAACTATAGAAAGTAGATCAGACAGCTGATCCAGACGCTGCTGCCTGCGTCCTCACTAGAACTATAGAAAGTAGATCAGACAGCTGATCCAGACGCTGCTGCCTGCGTCCTCACTAGAACTATAGAAAGTAGATCAGACAGCTGATCCAGACGCTGCTGCCTGCGTCCTCACTAGAACTATAGAAAGTAGATCAGACAGCTGATCCAGACGCTGCTGCCTGCGTCCTCACTAGAACTATAGAAAGTAGATCAGACAGCTGATCCAGACGCTGCTGCCTGCGTCCTCACTAGAACTATAGAAAGTAGATCAGACAGCTGATCCAGACGCTGCTGCCTGCGTCCTCACTAGAACTATAGAAAGTAGATCAGACAGCTGTTTCGTTTTAGTTTTAGCTGTCATGCTAACAGATGCTAACGGATATTTCTCTGTGTCCAGCTGAGTCTCCGGGACAACGACCTGATCTCGTTACCCAGGGAGATCGGTGAACTGGCTCAGCTGAAGGAGCTTCACATCCAGGGCAACAGACTGACCGTCCTTCCTCCTGAACTCGGTACTCAGCTTCCTCCTCCTCATCCTCGCTGCCTCCCCCACCTTTAGCACCAATGCTAATCAGATGGTTGAGCTGCAGGTTTCTCTCTATTGATTTTCCATTCATCTGAATCTGCTCTGCTCCAAGGTTTTTACTGTAATGCATTAATCAGTGTTTTAATGAGATTAATGGGGCTGAAGGCCGCAGACAAAGATCACCATAATATAGAATCTATTCCTGCTTGTCTTCCAAACAGACATGTCTTCTTTTAATGGTTTTCTGTCAGAATGTTGACATGTTTCATTATTTGGGACTCAATATGGCCGACATGTTGAATCCATAGAGCTGATCAACAGCTCTGATGGGATTGGTCTAACAGAACAGAAGAGTCTGCCTGGTGGACCAATCAGAGCCCTTTACACAGGAAACACAATAAAAACAAACTTTAATTTTATAATGTTTATCTTTTTAAACTAGTCCATCATTAGACTGGATGCTATAGACTGGACACTCTTGACTGGACGCTATAGATGGGACGCTATAGACTGGAAGCTTTAGACTGGACGCTATAGGCTGGACGCTATAGACTGGACACTGTTGACTGGACGCTATAGATGGGACGCTATAGACTGGACGCTATAGACTGGACGCTATAGGCTGGATGCTATAGACTGGAAGCTTTAGACTGGACGCTATAGACTGGATGCTATAGACTGGAAGCTTTAGACTGGACACTATAGGCTGGACACTATAGACTGGACGCTATAGATGGAACGCTATAGACTGGACGCTATAGGCTGGACACTACAGACTGGAAGCTTTAGACTGGACGCTATAGGCTGGACACTCTTGACTGGACGCTATAGATGGAACGCTATAGACTGGACGCTATAGGCTGGACACTATAGACTGGAAGCTTTAGACTGGACGCTATAGGCTGGACACTATAGACTGGATGCTATACACTGGACGCTTTAGACTCGACACTATAGGCTGGACGCTATAGACTGGAAGCTTTAGACTGGACACTATAGACTGGACACTCTTGACTGGACGCTATAGATGGAACGCTATAGACTGGACGCTATAGGCTGGACACTATAGACTGGAAGCTTTAGACTGGACGCTATAGGCTGGACACTATAGACTGGATGCTATACACTGGACGCTTTAGACTCGACACTATTGGCTGGACGCTATAGACTGGATGCTATACACTGGACGCTTTAGACTCGACACTATAGGCTGGACGCTATAGACTGGACGCTATACACTGGCTGCTTTAGACTTGACACTCTAGGCTGGACGCTATAGACTGGACGCTATACACTGGCCGCTTTAGACTCGACACTCTAGACTGGACGCTGTAGACTGGATGATTTAGACTGGATGCTTTGGACTCAACACTCTAGACTGGACGCTGTAGATGGGACGCTATAGACTGGAAGCTTTAGACTGGACGCTATAGGCTGGACACTATAGACTGGATGCTATACACTGGACGCTTTAGACTCGACACTATAGGCTGGACACTAGACTGGACGCTATACACTGGACGCTTTAGACTCGACACTCTAGACTGGACGCTTTAGACTCGACACTCTAGACTAAGGGTGTGCAAAATAATCGTCAAATCGATGCATCGTGATTCTAATTTTTGTGATCTACTGAATCGATTCTTGAAGGCAAGAATCGATTATAAAAAAAAAAAATGAACAAATAAAATACATTAATGGTTGGCGCACATCAATCAAACCAAGTGGAATACAACTTCCAGTCCAGCAGATGTCGCTGCGGATGTGTTGACGCCTGCTGCTTTGTGTCATAAGCATGTCCGGACTGATTATCCTCACTTTGTTATTTTAAGTTTGATGAATCCTAAGATCTTTTTGTTGGTGTGTCCATGCCAGTAATAGTAATATTTCTGTCCAGTATTTGTTTTCATGGCAACCCCTCCAAAAGTAATTTCAATAAATCCAGCTATGTATGAATTCAGTTGCTTTCAGTTATGTATCAATTGAAGACACTATCCAGATCACACCCAGCCAGTCAGCCACTGGTAAGGGCTGTATCTTTTTCTTACAGTGTTCAGTGAAAATATCGCAATGCATCGCAATATTTCAAGTATCGTGATGCATCGTGATAGAATCGCATCGTGGCATGTGAATCGTGATTCGAATCGAATCGTGACTTCTTTGCCAATACCCACCCCTACTCTAGACTGGACGCTATACACTGGCTGCTTTAGACTTGACACTCTAGGCTGGACACTATAGACTGGACGCTATACACTGGCCGCTTTAGACTCGACACTCTAGACTGGACGCTGTAGACTGGATGATTTAGACTGGATGCTTTGGACTCGACACTCTAGACTGGACGCTGTAGACTGGATGATTTAGACTGGACGCTATAGATGGGACGCTATAGACTGGATGCTATAAACTGGAGATTTTAGACTGGACGTTGAGATATGATTTAGACTGGATGCTTTAAACTCGACATTTTAGACTGGAAGCTTTAGACTGGGCGCTATACACTGGACTCTTTAGACTCGACAATCTAGACTGGACGCTGTAGACTGGAGGATTTAGACTGGACGCTATAGATGGGACGCTATAGACTGGAAGCTTTAGACTGGAGGCTATAGGCTGGACGCTGTAGACTGGACGCTATACACTGGACGCTTTAGATTTGACACTCTAGACTGGACGCTATAGGCTGGACGCTTTAGACTCGACACTCTAGAATAGACGCTATAGACTGGACGCTATACACTGGCTGCTTTAGACTTGACACTCTAGGCTGGATGCTATAGACTGGACGCTATACACTGGACGCTTTAGACTCGACGCTATAGGCTGGACGCTATAGACTGGACGCTATACACTGGACGCTTTAGACTCGACACTCTAGACTGGACGCTATACACTGGCTGCTTTAGACTTGACACTCTAGGCTGGACGCTATAGACTGGACGCTATACACTGGCCGCTTTAGACTCGACACTCTAGACTGGACGCTGTAGACTGGATGATTTAGACTGGATGCTTTGGACTCGACACTCTAGACTGGACGCTGTAGACTGGATGATTTAGACTGGATGCTTTGGACTCGACACTCTAGACTGGACGCTGTAGACTGGATTATTTAGACTGGATGCTATAGATGGGACGCTATAGACTGGATGCTATAAACTGGAGATTTTAGACTGGACGCTCGAGATATGATTTCGACTGGATGCTTTAAACTCGACATTTTAGACTAGAAGCTTTAGACTGGGCGCTATACACTGGACTCTTTACACTCGACAATCTAGACTGGACGCTGTAGACTGGATGATTTAGACTGGACGCTATAGATGGGTCGCTATAGACTGGATGCTATAAACTGGACATTTTAGACTGGACACTCGAGACTGGATGATTTAGACTGAATGCTTTAAACTCGACATTTTAGACTGGAAGCTCTAGACTGGATGCTTCAGACTGGGCGCTATAGACTGCAAGCTATAGACAGGACGCCTTGACTGGACACTCTAGACTGAACGCTATTGACTGGATGCTATTGACTAGACTCTATAGACTGGATGATTTAGACTGGACAGTATAAACTCGACATTTTAGACTGGACGTTTTACAATTGACGCTATAGACTGGATGCTTTAAACTTGACATTTTAGACTGGAAGCTCTAGACTGAGCACTTTAGACTAGACACTTTAGACTGGATGCAGTAGACTGTACAATATTGACTGGACACTTGACTGGATGCTATTGAATGGACGCTTTAGACTGGACGCTATAAACTGGACATTTTAGACTGGACGCTTTAGACTGGATTCTATAGACTGGAAGCTTAAGACTAGACGCTTTAGACTGGAAACTCTAGACTGGATGATTTAGACTGTACGCTATAGACTGGACGCTTTAGACTAGACACTCTAGACTGGACGCTTTAGACTGCACGGTATTGACTGGACGCTCTGGGCTGGACGCAGTAGACTGGACACTCTAGACTCTACGCTATTGACTGGACGCTATTGACGCTTTGGACTGGATGCTATAAACTGGACGCTTTACAATGGACGCTATAGACTGGATGCTTTAAACTCGACATTTTAGACTGGAAGCTTTAGACTGGATGCTATAGACTGGACTGTTAAGACTGGACGCTTTAGACTGGAAACTCTAGACTGGACGCTATTGATTGGACCCTATTGACTGGATGCTATAAACTGGAAATTTTAGACTGGACACTTTACAGTGGACGCTATAGACTGGACACTTTGCAAATCATGACTAAATAATAGAAGCCTAACTGATTGTAATAATTGTCTTTGCAGGGAATCTGGATCTAACTGGTCCAAAGCAGGTGTTCAAAGCTGAGAACAATCCGTGGGTCACTCCCATCGCAGACCAGTTTCAACTGGGAGTCTCCCATGTCTTCGAATACGTCCGCTCAGAGACCTATAAGTAGTAAGTCATTAAACTTACACGCTGTCATTATCCTTGTCCCAGTTTGTCCTTCCAATTAACATGAAAGTTTATCCTCTCAGTTAAAACCAAACCAGTTTATCTTCCCATTTAACACTGAACCAGTTTATCCTCCCAGTTAAAACCAAACCAGTTTATCTTCCCAGTTAAAATTAAACCAGTTTATCCTCCCAGTTAAGACCAAACCAGTTTGTCTTCCCAGTTAACACTAAACCAGTTTATCCTCCCAGTTAAGACCAAACCAGTTTATCCTCCCAGTTAAGACCAAACCAGTTTATGTTCCCAGTTAACACTAAACCAGTTTACCCTCCCAGTTAAGATCAAACCAGTTTATCTTCCCAGTTAAGACCAAACCAGTTTATCTTTCCAGTTAACACCTCACCAGTTTATCCTCCCAGTTAAGACCAAACCAGTTTATCTTCCCAGTTAAGACCAAACCAGTTTATCTTCCTAGTTAAGACCAAACCAGTTTACCCTCCCAGCTGAGACCAAACCAGTTTATCTTCCCAGTTAAGACCAAACTAGTTTATCCTCCCAGTTGAGACCAAACCAGTTTATCTTCCCAGTTAAGACCAAACCAGTTTATCCTCCCAGTTAAGACCAAACCAGTTTATCTTCCCAGTTAAGACCAAACCAGTTTATCTTCCCAGTTAAGACCAAACCAGTTTACCCTCCCAGCTGAGACCAAACCAGTTTATCTTCCCAGTTAAGACCAAACCAGTTTATCCTCCCAGCTGAGACCAAACCAGTTTATCTTCCCAGTTAAGACCAAACCAGTTTATCCTCCCAGTAAAGACCAAACCAGTTTATCTTCCCAGTTAAGACCAAACCAGTTTATCCTCCCAGTTAAGACCAAACCAGTTTATCCTCCCAGTTAAGACCAAACTAGTTTATCCTCTCAGTTAAGACCAAACCAGTTTATCCTCCCAGTTGAGACCAAACCAGTTTATCTTCCCAGTTAAGACCAAACTAGTTTATCCTCTCAGTTAAGACCAAACCAGTTTATCTTCCCAGTTAAGACCAAACTAGTTTATCCTCTCAGTTAAGACCAAACCAGTTTATCCTCCCAGTTGAGACCAAACCATTTTTATTTTCCCCTTTTAAAGGGAAAAAACTAGTTTATCCTCTCAGTTAAGCCAAACCATTTTATCTTCCCATTAAGCCCAAAACTATTTTATCCTTTTATTTAAAGCCCAAAACCCAGTTTACCCCCCCATTTTGGGGACCAAACCGGGAATTATTTCCCCCATTTAAGCCCAAAACCATTTTTATCCCCTTTTTTTAAAGGCCCAAAACCATTTTACCCCCCCAAGCTGAGCCCAAAACCCCGTTTTTTTCCCCCCCAAGTTAAAAACCAAACCATTTATCCCCCCAGTAAAGCCCAAAACCCCATTTTTAAAATCCTCCCAGTTAAGCCCAAAAACTTTTTTTATCCCCCTCGTTAAGCCCAAAAAACCAGTTTATCTTCCCATTAAGACCAAACTAGTTTATCCCCCGTTGAGCCCAAAACCAGTTTATTTTCCCCAGTTAAAAACCAAACTAGTTTATCCTCCAGTTAAAAAACCAAAACCCCATTTTTATTTTCCCCAGTTAAGACCAAACCCTTTTTTTATCCCAGTAAAGCCCAAAAACCTTTTTATTTCCCATTTTACCCCCAAAACCCCGGGTTTTTTTTATTGAATTTGGGTGAAAAAATCATTTGAAAAAAACCCAGACTGGATCATTTGAAAGTCTAAGCAATTTTTAGATTTAGGCATAAAAATTTTCTACTTTGGAGTAGTGGGGAAAAGGGGGCGGGGAGGCTCTGAGGGGGGGGGGGGGACGGTTAGATTTTTAGGCAAAAAAAATTTTCATGGATAGTGAGGAAGGGGTTGGGCTCTGGAAAAGTGTTAGATTCAGGCATTTTAATTCAACATGGATAGTGGGGAAAGGGGTGGGGCTTGGAGACGGTTAGTTCCCTAGGCATTTTTTATCTCCCATGGAGTAGTGGGGAAAGGGGCTGGAGGCTCTGAGAGACGTGTTAGTTTCCCAAGGCCCAATATATCTACATGGAGTAGTGGGGAAAGGGGGGCTGGAGGCTTTTGAGAGAGTGTTAGATTCTAGGCATATATTTTCTAATGAAGTGTAAAGGAAGGTGTGGAGGCCTGAGAACGTTTTAGTTTTCTAGGCTTATATATCTACTTTAAGTAGAGAGGAAGTGCGGGAGGCTCTGGGGGAAAGTGTTGGGATTCCTAGGCATATAAAATCTAATAATTAGTAAAGGAAAGGTGCTGGAGGCCTAAAGGGGAAGTTTTTAAATTTCTAGGCAAAAATATTTTCAGGGAGTAGTGAGGAGGGGCTGGAGCTCTGAGGACGTGTTAGATTCTAGGCATATAAAACACAGGGAAGTAGTGGGGAAAAGGGGGCTGGGAAGGCTCTGAGAGAGTGTTAGATTCTGGGGGCATAAAAAATTTTACAGGGAGTGTGGGAAAAGGGGCGGAGGCTCTGGGGAACGTGTTAAAAAGTTTCCCTAGGCTAAATATCTAAATAAAGTAGTGGGGAAAAGGGGCTGGAGGCTCTGAGAGACGTTTTTAGATTCTAGGCATATTTTATCAAAAAGGATAGTGAGGAAAAGGGGCGGGGAGGCTCGGGGAAGACGTGTTAGATGCTGGGCCCTTTATATCTACATGAAGTAGGGGGGGGAAAATGCTGGAGGCTTGAAGAGGGTTAAAAATTTTCCTAGGCATATATACTACATAAAGTAGTGGGGAAAAGGTGCGGGAGGCTCGAGGGACGTGTTAGATTTACATATATATCTACATGGGTAGTGGGGAAAGGTGCGGGAGGCCCCTGGGGGGAACGTGTTAGATTCTAGGCATTTATATCTACAGGGAAGTAGTGAGGAAGGGCTGGAGGCTTTTAGGACGTGTTGGGATTTAGGAAAATTTATCTACATGGAGTGGGTGGGGGAAGGGGCTGGAGGCTCGAAACGTTTTTAGATTTGGGCCCATATATTTCTACATGGAGTAGTGGGGAAAAGGGGCGGGGAGGCTCTGAGGGCGTGTTTGATTTGGCATATAAAAATCTTACAGGGAAGTAGTGAGGAAGGTGCTGGAGGCTCTGAGGGACGTGTTAGATTCTAGGCATATATATCTACATGAAGTAGTGAGGAAGGGTGCTGGAGGCTCTGAGAGACGTGTTAGATTCTAGGCATATATATCTACATGAAGTAGTGAGGAAGGTGCTGGAGGCTCTGAGGGACGTGTTAGATTCTAGGCATATATATCTACATGGAGTAGTGAGGAAGGTGCTGGAGGCTCTGAGGGACGTGTTAGATTCTAGGCATATATATCTACATGGAGTAGTGAGGAAGGTGCTGGAGGCTCTGAGAGACGTGTTAGATTCTAGGCATATATATCTACATGGAGTAGTGAGGAAGGTGCTGGAGGCTCTGAGAGACGTGTTAGATTCTAGGCATATATATCTACATGAAGTAGTGAGGAAGGTGCTGGAGGCTCTGAGGGACGTGTTAGATTCTAGGCATATATATCTACATGAAGTAGTGAGGAAGGTGCTGGAGGCTCTGAGAGACGTGTTAGATTCTAGGCATATATATCTACATGGAGTAGTGAGGAAGGTGCTGGAGGCTCTGAGAGACGTGTTAGATTCTAGGCATATATATCTACATGAAGTAGTGAGGAAGGTGCTGGAGGCTCTGAGAGACGTGTTAGATTCTAGGCATATATATCTACATGGAGTAGTGAGGAAGGTGCTGGAGGCTCTGAGGGACGTGTTAGATTCTAGGCATATATATCTACATGAAGTAGTGAGGAAGGTGCTGGAGGCTCTGAGAGACGTGTTAGATTCTAGGCATATATATCTACATGAAGTAGTGAGGAAGGTGCTGGAGGCTCTGAGAGACGTGTTAGATTCTAGGCATATATATCTACATGAAGTAGTGAGGAAGGTGCTGGAGGCTCTGAGAGACGTGTTAGATTCTAGGCATATATATCTACATGAAGTAGTGAGGAAGGTGCTGGAGGCTCTGAGGGACGTGTTAGATTCTAGGCATATATATCTACATGAAGTAGTGAGGAAGGTGCTGGAGGCTCTGAGGGACGTGTTAGATTCTAGGCATATATATCTACATGGAGTAGTGAGGAAGGTGCTGGAGGCTCTGAGAGACGTGTTAGATTCTAGGCATATATATCTACATGGAGTAGTGAGGAAGGTGCTGGAGGCTCTGAGAGACGTGTTAGATTCTAGGCATATATATCTACATGAAGTAGTGAGGAAGGTGCTGGAGGCTCTGAGAGACGTGTTAGATTCTAGGCATATATATCTACATGAAGTAGTGAGGAAGGTGCTGGAGGCTCTGAGGGACGTGTTAGATTCTAGGCATATATATCTACATGAAGTAGATATACCACCATCACTATCACCACCACAACCATCACCACCATCACATCCACTACCATCACCACCATGAACACCAACACCACCATCACTATCACAACCACCACTACAATCACCACTATCACCACCATCACATCCACTACCATCACCACCATAACGATCACCACCACCACCATCACCACCATAACGATCACCACCACAACCATCACCACCATGAACACCAACACCACCATCACTATCACAACCACCACTACAATCACCACTATCACCACCATCACATCCACTACCATCACCACCACCATCACCACCATAACGAACACCACCACTACCATCACTACCACAACCATCACTAAAATCACCACCATCACCACCATGAACACCTCCACTGCCATCACCACCACCACAAATCACAACCACAACCAACCATCACCACCACCATCACCACATAATAACCACTAGGAGCAAACAATTGGAACAACACTGTTCTTCCTGATCATCTATTTCCTCCTAAACCTGCCATGGGTGTCTGCTGATCTTTGACCTTCAGGGTCCAAAGGGATGAGGCAGGCAGTTCAGTCCCTGCTGGT